TGACCGAGATGGAAGAGAGCTGGATGTGCTCCTGGTCGTGGTCAGGGCGCCGGGATAGGGCATCTGCGACCCGATTAGTCTCACCCTTGATGTGCTCAGTGGTGAAACTAAACTCGGATAGGTTGCGCCACCAGCGAGCCTGTCGAGGAGTGAGCTTCGACTTTGTCAGAAAAGCACAACAGAGTTGTCCGTGCGCACCGTGAATGGTGCCCCGTGCAGGTAGTGACGCCAGTGCCGAGCGGCAAAAACTACTCTGAGAACCTCACGTTCATCAGCAGTGTAGTTTATCTCGGCGGGCAGGAGCTGACGGGAGTAGAAGGCTATCGGACAATCACCTGAGCGAGACTCGACAGTGCCGTCCTAGGTGGTGGGAAGCGAGGGATACGAGGATGAGAGGAATCAGGAGAGGAGGAGAAGACCTGAGAAAGCACTGCTCCTACAGCGAAGTCTGACGCATCGGTGGTAAGGATAAAAGGGCAGTCAAAATCGAGTAGGTGAAGAACCGGTGTGCATGTCACCGCCTTCTTGAGGGCGCGGAAGGCGTCCTCGTGGAGGGGTGTCCAAGCCCAGGGTGGGTTCTTCCGGAGGAGGGTGGAGGTAAGGACGTAGGAATACCTAGCGTATCCTCGGATGAAGTTACTGTAGTAGCTGGTCAGGCCTAGGAAGCTGCGAAGCTGCTTGGCGGATGTGGGAGCGGGCCACTCCGCAATAGCAGTGATCTTCGCGTCGTCCATGTGGAAACCTTGGTCAGAGCAAGCGGTCAAGGACGTCGCGGATATGTCTGAGGTGCTCCTCAAGGGTACGATTATAGACCAGGATATCGTCGAGGTAGACGAGAACGTACTCCTCCAGGATGTCCCTGAAGATGTCGTTCATCGCCCTCTGAAAGGTAGCCGGAGCATTAGTGAGGTCGAATGGCATCACCGTGAACTCGTAGTGGCCGAATCGCGATCGGGACGCAGTCTTCGGGTGGTCGGCTGCAGCGACGCGGATCTGATGGTAACCGCTACGAAGATCAATCTTCATAAAGAAGCAGTTGCCTGCTAGACGGTCGAACAGCTCATCGGAACGAGGCATGGGGTAGTTGTTCTTAACCGTGTAGCGGTTGAGACCGCGATAGTCGATGCAGAGACGGAGAGTTTCGTCCGCTTTGCGAGCAAAGAGGACGGGTGCACCCCACGGGGAGTTGCTGGGTTTAATGAAACCCAATCTCAGGAGCTCCTCAAGCTGACGCTTGAGTTCGATGGCCTCGGGGATCGAGAGTCTGTAGGGTGCCTGGTGGTGAACACGATAGTCAGGCACAAGCTGAATGGAGTGCTCGACGTCACGCATCGGTGGGATGCCGGCGTACGAGAACGACGATGGGAAAACGTCGTGGTACTCTAGGATGAGGTCACGAACTGCGGGCTCCAAGTCAGCCGTATACCGTGCGAGTTCCTCAGCGTCAGCGTCAGCGCGCGACGGCGGGGTGGACTCGACGGACGGCGGAGGGACGGAAGTAGAGATGGGAGCCATGGAGATAGAGGGAGGATCTGGCTTCAGAGGGATGAGCTCGGCGTCGAGACAGGGTGGATCATAGTGTAAGAGATCCGTCACGTCCACCATAAAGAAGGTGGCGTCATCCTGTCGAATGAAGTGAGCGAACTGCCGAGGCGAGGTGACAGTGATAGAGGGAGATGGTGTGGGCACTGAAGGCTACGGGGAAGGAGGATCGGGGCGTGGTGTCGCTGTGGTACCTATGAAAGGTACGCGATACGTTTATCCACACTTCGTTTTGAGAACGAGAGTGTTGGTCGCCCAATCGGCCTCCGTGCTGCGGAACCGTCGAGACCAGGGAGTGCCAAGAATGAAGTCGTACCCCGTCTCCATCACATCGAAATGTGCAGAGGAGCGGTGGCGATGAGACGTCGGGGAACGATCAGTCGGCTCGAGAGTGAGGAAGAAGGGGAGGTCGGTAACCGTCTGATCGAAGAAGCGCTAGGTCTTGTCATCCCCTAGGGTAACGGAGATGGGAGTCGCAGACCCTGTCGTGGGTAAGCGGGCTTCCTTCACCACGCGTGGGTGAATGAAGTCGCCCTGAGAACCGGAATCCCACAGCGCTGAGTACACCCTCGTGGAGGTCCCGAGTCGTACTGGGATGATCGGAAGGGTGCGATCAGGGTCAGAGAGGATGGCGAGAAGGCGACGCAGTGCAATGATATGGAGGGTGAGTCGCTCCTGACGAGCCTGGAGCATGTTCAAGTCCAAAAGAGACGACACAACGTCCTCGCGAGTAGCAAGCTACTCGCTGCAACGGGCTGAGCGAATGGCTCGACGCATCGGTAGTCGCTGCGGGGAAGGAGGGGAGACGGTGGTCTGCGGAGGCGCAGACGGTACTGCAACAGAGGGCTGAGTACACTTTGTCGAGTCCTGCGATACCTCAACTCCAATAGCGAGAGGGGCGAACCGCAACGGAGATGTCGGGAAGCCCACTACTGAGGAGGGCGCAGGTGTACATTGCACCGTGGCTAGGAGGCGCCGCGGGGACGTGAGGCGCCGGGGGGGGACTGAGCACGACGCTGACGAGAAAGGTCAGCATAGTGGCGGTCGAGGGCGGTAGTGTAAGGGCACCGCGAGGAGGTATGACCGTCCAAGCGGCAGCGCAAACACCC